TTCTTATGTGAGTCTCACCTTAAGTATCTGTGCTATAACCAAACTGAATTCCCCAGGTTATCCTGTTTTCCAGCTATGCCTTTGCTTGTACGTGTTCCCCTGCCTAGAATGTTGTTTCTTCTAAAATACATTTTAAGCTTTTTCTTTTATTAGAATTTTATGTTTCCTGTTAGATTGAAGTTAGAGGCTAGACTTTTCATTTCTGATTATCTTGGGTAAAAAATATATGGGAAAGGGAGGGGTGGTTCAGGGAACCATAATTTTACCTCACTAAGGCAATCATTGTTTTGTTGGTGTTTTATCATAGCTTCTTTTATTTCTTCTTGATTACCTGCAGGGGATTGGTTTCATTTTTGTTTGTTTTGGTTTTTTATAGACAGTCACTGTTAGCATAACATTTGGGGGTATTTTCTTAATGTTTAAATCTTTACTTTGATGATATTGTATATTTAATGTTTAAAGTCCACTGCTATTTTCTCATAGTAGGTATTACCAAAAATTGCGAAATTTCAAACGAATCGATGAGCAAAATGAAAAAAATAATGCTATCTTAGCGTATGTTCCCACTGTGAAATATTTAAATTAGAAATTCATAAAACAACTTTTTAACATGTAGATCTAGTATCTGTGTAAATGAAGAGAAATGTAAAGTATTAAACTGATTATTCATGGGTATGCTAGGACTTTGCAATACCAGTTGCTGTGGAAGGAAATCAGTACAGTATAAGGTCATGATACAGTCTGTGACTATATCTGAGGAAGTATAATTGCTGTCCTGTTAAAATTCCATAAACAGTGAATTAGTCTGCTCTCTCCAGAGCACTGTTAGATGTGTAGAAGAGCCAGAGTATTGTTCTTGACTTTTAGGAACTCAAAATCTAGTGATGGAAGACATAAACACAAAAAATGTAAGCCATGGTTTGCCTAACATATATAGTAAGCACTTACTAAATGGATCTCCCAGGGGAAAAGTTGGCAGTAAATTGAAGGAGCAAAATCTAGTGAAAATCCAATTCCTTCCTGTGGAAATAGAAAAACTGTTTCCTCTGCTCTCACAACACCACCATCAGCAATCAGCACAGAAGGCTTCTGTGACTGAACATGGAGGTAGTTCTCCCCACCACCAAGCAAGCCATCAGTTCTTTTTGGGACAGTTTCACTCCATCAATCCCGGTAGAGTGCAGTGGCGTCATTATAGCTCACTGCAACCTCAAACTCCTGGGCTCAAGTGATCCTCCTGCCTCAGCCTCCCAAGTAGCTGGGACTACAGGCCTGCACTACCACACCAGGCTAATTTTTTCCATTTTTAGTAGAGACGGGGTCTCTCAGTCTGGTCTCAAACGCCTGAGCTCAAACAATCTCCCACCTTGGCCTCCCAGAGTGCTAGGATTATAGGCATGGGCCACTGCGCCAGCCAGGCCATCAGTTCCATAATGAACACTAACTGGGTGTCTTCCAATTCAATTCTGACACTGTCCACCTGGAGTCAGCATCACATCCCACAGGTTAAGGACTCAGTCCCCAGGATTCACCCCTACCCCCACCCCCACACACAGCAGTAGCAATTCTGGGCCTCTTACCGCTGACTCACTGGCTTCAAGTTGAGGTTCCCACGACCCCCTCTTTGGGTTCAAAGAATTTACTAGAGTGGTTTATAGAACTCAGGGAAACATGTTTACTGGCTTATTATAAAGGATGTTACAAAAGATACAGATGTAAAGATACATAAGGCAAGGTATGTGGGAAAGAGTGAGGAGCTTCCATGCCCTCCCAGGGCACTGCCCTCCAGGAATCTCCATGTGTTCAGCTGTCCAGAAGCTCCCTGAACCCCATCATCTTTGGCATTTTATGAAGACTTCATTGGATAGGGATGATTGACAACCATGTAGAAATGTAATTGGACCAAAAGGGTATGATCTAATACTAATAGACTGGGGAAACCCAGCAAAGCCTATCTGTTCAGATTCTTCTTGGCTTCTCTGTGCAGCATTCCTTTCCCCAGGGTATGGGGTGGGACCCCTTCTGAATTTGAGGGTTTTATGACCCACAGTCAGAAAGGTGGGAGATCAGAGTCCTGCCTTGGGCTGGTGAAAAGCGAACAGGTAAAGGTCAGAGAGGGATTCTGTTTTCTGAGGCCTGAAGTGTCCCAACATAACAAAGACTGCGGGAGTTAGGAGCCTAGAACTGTGGATGAAAACCAATCAATGTAAATAGATATATAGATATCAGTATATATATATATCATAATATCACACCTCCCCACTGACAACCACTATTGTAAGTTTCTCACTTCTTGTGTGAATATGTATTACACAAATATGTGAATACATATTCTTTTAGTCTTCACAATGAGGGTAATCACACTACCATAGGGATATTGAGGATTAAATTAAAATGATTTAGCATTTATGTTCCTGGAACAGAGAAAGTTCATAAATCGTTTGCCCTCCCTGCGTGGATCAAGGTCCCCAAGGAGATGGAATGTTTCAGGAGCATATTAATTTTAGGAAAGAAGAACTCTTTCTCTAACTGGGAGGAAGGAGGAAAGGATTAGTAATATGGGAAAATTTGAGATGGATTTTGGGAAAGTTGAGAGAATTCATGTTTTCTGGCCTTAACTTTCAAATGAAAGAAATTAAGTAGGTCTTTAGTTATTCCATTTGTTTAGATATAATTTGGTAAAGGCCTCAATAATCAGGTTTTCCTACTATAATGCCTTATATTCATCCTGAAAACCTGTTTTGTATTTTGTAAAATCTCATACTAAAAATAATAGTGGGAAAAGCAGGTTGTGGCAGACCACTCAAAACCTGTGCAACTTTGAAATGAAAGTAGTAACAAAAACAGTAACAAAAATATAAAGCACAATTAAGAAGACATCTTTAAGTCCTTGTAATAAGGAAAAATACTGCAGTACATATAGGGGCTTTACTTTAAGAACAAAGGTGAGGAGGATAACTTGCTGGAATGGTGGGGGGTGTGAGGAAGTTACAGAGACAGTGGGAGAACCACACAATACACGCCTGCCAAACCTGAGATAGGAAGAGGATACAGGACAGTGTGTATAAAGCCTGTATACCAATCGTGGTTCCTCCATGGCTTGCTGCATTCACTTCTGTACGCATACCTAACTGTACATAACATTGGTGTATTAGGAAAAATCTGTAGGAAGGAAAGACTGCTGCTGGTTTATACTGACATATTCCCCCCATTTACTGGTTGTATATGTGCTAAATTGTGTCATGGATATTAATTCTGTAGAAAGACAGTATTCTTTTGTAAATAAAGTATTTACTGTGGCTTAATAGAGTAATTGGTCGCCTGCCTTATAATGCTAACAGTTGCCCAATTTTTTTCCCTTTTAGGTGTGGATGTCAGCATGAATACACATCTTAAGGCTGTGAAAATGACCCTGAAGAACAGAGAACCTGTACAGCTAGAAACACTGAGTATTCGAGGAAATAACATTCGATATTTTATTCTACCAGACAGTTTACCTCTGGATACACTACTTGTGGATGTTGAACCTAAGGTGAAATCTAAGAAAAGGGAAGCTGGTAAGTTTGAAAGATTAGAAACATTTTTGCAAATGGTATATTTATACCCTAATCCACTATTCAAAATATAAACATTTGAGAACAACACAGGTTGGTTTGTTTGAAATTTCCTGTAATTGCCATGAATACATATGGTATTTATTATAACTCCTGTTGTTATTAAAAAGACTGATGTCTGTCCTGTCCAAAGGATTGATTGTTTCCTATCCTATTGTGCACAGCCTTGTCATCCACTCTCCCCACTTTGGAGGATTTGGAGATGGACTCTTTATTCCTGATAGTCTGAAATTCCTTAATGACTTGGCATTGGATACCCCCCTTTTCCTCCCTCCATTTTGTAATAATTTCTTCCCTTTTGCTTGCTCTATTCTTCCTGGAATTCTTAATCATATGCCTTCTGCTTGTCTAATTCTTATCTTTTCTCTGATTTTTCTCTGTTTGCCTTTTTCTTCTGAGAAATTTTCTTGACCTTCCAATCTAGCACATACTTAGTTTTCAAGCCTCCTTGTTCTCTGATCGTTTTTTTCATAGAATTCTGTTCTTGTTTTATGGATATAATATTTTTTTCTTATCACTGGTAGGATCTTTTGCTGTTTGAAGTTTTATTCTATACTTGGCATTGTTTTCTATGGTTTCTCTTTTTATTTGATCTCTTTATTTGGTCTTTTACATTAAAGGCTATGCTTCAGTGCCATGTCAGGCTACTCTAATATTCATGGCCATCCAAAGATGACATAAGTTCATTTGGGTGTGATGTTCAACTAGAGTTAGGATGACCAGGTAACAGGGATATTAATTATGATTAGGTCAAATGACTTTTAAAGGAATGGATTTTGACAGAAAAAGACATGGGGCAGAATTACAGAATAGAAAGTAAATACAAATGTAAACTGTTTTGGTAATTATTTTATAACCACAACAAATTACTACAGAGAATGACCTGTATAAAACATAATAAAGGTTCAAAGATTCAGGTGTTCCCTTAGCAAGGCTGAAAATTTCAGTCTCTGATATTTGGAATTTGGGCTGCAGTCACAGGGTGTGTGCACAGTCCATGCTTTTGACCAGAAGAATTGCCACTTGGCCCAAGTAGAAGTAGATGAAGTGTTTGGTTTCACGTGTCACGTAACTATCAATGTTCCTCCCCATAATGCAGTGCCAGGTGAGATTGTACTTCTTGTCAAACTCCTAGATATGAGCTGCATTGTCCTTTTCTATGTTATATTAATGTTTCTCCAGTGCCTGAGCAGCACACTCCACTGAGTTCTGTTGCATCTCTTCTAATATGTCTGCACTTTTGATTGCGGCCTTTCAGTGACACATGGTTACCATGGAGAAGGGGCTGGTTGACTGCAAGGGTCTCCTGGGGGAGGTGCTAGCACACCTCAGGCTCATGAGAGCTGGGGTAGCTACCAACCTTGGCACATCTCCAAATGACTTTTAAGGTTCTAAAGACTTACGAGATTGTTATTTGGTGTAATGTATTTAAACTTTATTAGCTTTGAAGTAATTGCTTGGATTCTGTTCAGTAACCAAAAATATGGCACAAGGTGTTCATGTTCTATTCTATTGATAGATCTCTCCCATCTTGTGAGAGGTTCAAGTCACTTGTGATTCATTTTGTGGTGAATTTGAGACATGATAAAAAGAAAAAATATTTTAAAACTTGACAAATTTCTCACTAAATAAATTTAAATGAAACAAATACAGTAATAAAGAATCTCCCTAGGCCAACAGTTGTGGTTCTGCATAATAATGAGTTGGGGGCTGGGGGGAATCTGAGGTCTAAGATTTGAGGGAAGCTAGTCAAACTTTACTGAAGCTGCTAATGAAGAGCTGTAAAGCGGGGAAGGTGTATGTGTCAGTGCTGTTTGTGCTGGCTAGGTAACATTAGTGCAGAAGAGAATTTAACTTGCTTTATTTTTCTCTTCCCTCAGTTGCAGGAAGAGGCCGAGGTCGAGGCAGAGGAAGAGGACGTGGCCGTGGCAGAGGAAGAGGGGGTCCTAGGCGATAATGTCTGTCAAGATTATTGTTTCAAAGTGATAAGTGAATGGGATATTTTTTGTACAGGTTTTGTTTGTTTATGTCAATTTTTAATAAACATAAATGTGGGACAGAGTTGTCTTTTGAGTATTTCAAAGTTTTCGTAGTTTCCTGTATATTCATGAAGTTAACCACAGTGAGAGCTAAGAATTTCTGCTAGATCTAAGAACATCATTCTTAGATGATCAGGGTTTAATTTTTTGAACTAAAGTTGTTTTTACAAATATATATAGAATATATACCCTTTAACTTGTCATACACTGAGTATTCATTTTTATTGCTTTACTCTGACTTTACTCTGAAACTTACCTACAGGTAAAGTAAGAAGTTCTTGGTATTTCAGAAACTAAAATGCTTTTGGAATGGCATCTAAAATTGATTCTCCTTTTCTGCATTTTACTCTCTGGAGACTTAGGTACTTGGTAAAAGATGATAGTCATCTTCTAAATCAGGGGTCATTGTTTTGGGGTTTCTTTTTTTTTTTTTTT